AAAATCAAGAGATTACATGGAAGAATAACTGATCTGGAATTAAAACAGTTACTGCACGCAGTTCAGCATCACCTATAAATTGAGTGATTTGCTCAAAGTCTGTGAAGATTGCCTGATGAAAAGAAACAGCCAACACTGCTTCATTTCTTTCACTCATCTGGAAAACAAAGAAAAAACATGTGATTATGTATATAGCAGCCAACAAGTGCTTGTGAAGAACTATTAATCCACTAAAAAAGTGAACTTGAGGCACTCACCATCAACGCTGATGGTCTTCTGCATCAGCCTGGGTGCAAACGCCATGCGGCGAGGTGCAAAGGCTAAAATAAACAGGGAACAAAAGGAGTAGTGAAGTTATTTTCATCACTCATGACAGCCTCTCCATAGCTACAAATGCAGCGTTGAATCAGAAGTCCCTTAAAATGTGTCTTCTACCTGTCTTCCTCTGACAGTCAGGGCGGCCGCGCATGGTGGTGCCCTCGATGACTGTGCCCTGCTCGTCCACACACCAGCAGTAACCGGTGGCGTGCCAGCACTGCATGGGCTTGTAGCGGCCCTGCTCGTCACACTGGGGCTTGTAGGAACCGATCTTGCTGAGTCCAGGCGCTGACTCCATCTGGCACTTGGTCTTGATCTCAGAGGCTGAGGGATCGAAAAAAATAGAGCACAGATTAAAGGCCTGTCTCGTGTTAATTACTTGTGAATGCAGCAAAGTTAAAACAATAGGCCGCATTTTGGGTAACACATTTTGCCAAGGGTTTGGGGGGGGGGGGGGGTTATGTGCAGGGCTGTCTCTTGGCTTTCACAGCACCAGTCTGGACAAGGACGTTAGCTAAATGCTAAAATGTAAACAAAATGAAGTTGCAATAACCTGGATCAGCTGTTGGGGGTACAGGCTTCTGCTGGGCCATCTGGAAGATCAGCCAGTAACGCATCCAGGACTCAAAGCTCTGCAGAGAGCAAAATGTAAAATATATATTTTTTTAAAACGTGACTGGCAAGATATTTGAATTTGATTCAAATATTTTAGTTGTAGTAGTTTCCCTGTAAATGTGTGTGAGGCTTTACCTTCCACTCGCTCTCATTCATCTGCTGCTTCAGGCCCTGCAGGTTGGTCAGGAAGGTCTCGTTGAACTGCGGCAGCTGGGTGTCCTGCTCAAAACATGACCAGACCTTAGTGACAATGAAACATCAACAATGTGAGGACACACAGGATACCGAGTGCAACACACCTGCATGAGATCCTTCAGCTGTTTCTCCACACTGACAACAGCAGTTTCCTGCAGTTTCTGGGAGGGAACAGAAAAAAGTCATTGTTTAAATTCATGCTGAAATGTATTCATTCATAACACAACATACAGAACAATATAAGTTTGATAGATACAAGATAAATGTTTTTTCCCTCTCAGGAGACAGGTGTAAACCTACAGTCAAGGGTGTCTTGGAGTCCTCATCTGAAGTGAAGTCCATCAGCAGAGGAAGGCTGTTCATGGGCATGTGCATCTTCATTGGAGCCACGGCTATAGATAAACAAACAAGCAAACACATAAATGTATCAGTTAATGTGAAAGAAATTTAATGAACCTGTTTTATCTCTGAATTGTCCTTCACACTTAGCATACTTTGTGTGAGGAGCCTGGAGACAAAAATAGCATAGAGACCTTGGAGAAGTTTCAGACTCTTCTGATTATACTACACATTGTTTTGCCTCTTCCTGGTGGCGTGACTATCCGTGATTCAATATGACATGTGTCCTGTGTAAAACTGAGCGAATGTAATGTTTAAGTTTGGGGAGAGAATTTTTGCTAATGAAAATAGTGGAAAAATGTTTTAATACAACATTTGAATCAAATGATTTGTTGCTTGTGGGGGGAAAACACACACACAATTACCTTATCTAAAATTCTGTAATTACATGTAAAAGAACATTAAAGCCTCACAGAATTACATAGATGAGTTGAACCGAAACATACAAACGGAAAATGAAAACTGAATGAAATGCAGGCAACGCATAATCAAACGGATGCTTTTCTTCACAGCAACTCTGCTACACCGGACGTGTTGAATGCTAGATAATATATTATTATCACTAGCATATGACACTGCTTAAAAAGATCAAAATAAAGATAGCAAACAGCTCATTTCTTCCCCCTGTGAATCACCAGCAAAACTTTCATTTCTCTGTCCAGCTTTCAGATCAAGTTCCTTAAAGCAAACTCTCACTTCCCTCTTCAACTCCTTATCCTCCTCTTCCTCCTGTCTGATGAAGACTATGAAGACTATTTCTCATTAATGACACATTCTTGGACCATTAGGACTTTATTGCTTCCTTATACCATGGGAAGAGCGGGTGAGCTGTTTGCTCATTCTCTCGGCGTTCTTCTGCAGCGTGTGGATCTGATCCTTCTGGCCAAACACCATGTAGGCAGTGAAGACCTGGCTGGCGAGGAGCAGACATGCCAGGGTTGTCAGGCCTGCCACCTTCAAGGCACGACTGTTGGAGCCCCTGAGAGAGAAGAATAGATGGGGAGAGGGAATAATATGACACACAGCCAGATTTGAAAAGACCAAAAGTGAGATGGGGTTTTTTTTGCAAAAGATTCCAAAGTATTACATTTACTTGGGTTGAGCTGTGTGGCATTTTGAAAGCACAGATGATTTGTTTTGATACTGAGTTTTGACAGTTTGATGCTCAAATGTAAACAGACAATCTAGGTATTATCCATATTCTAAACAAAAGCAAATAAACATCATCACCTCTTAGACGTTATGCTGTTACTTTTACTCACAGTGATTACTCACAGTGATATAAATCCTGACACAAAAATATATGTCAGCACTTTTCTCTGCTGCTCATAATCAGCCAATGGAATGTGAGCATCAGTTGTTACTAGGCAGATGTTTTTCCCTGATGTAAGGAAGTACCCATCCAAATACTATTTAGAGCATTTTTAAGATTTATAAACAGGTGTAAAATTATTTGTTTCTCAATAATTGTATATTCACTTATTCCATAAACAGCTCTGCTACAATGAAAAGTGAAACTTAAGCAGCAACAAGACAAACGTTTCAATGCTGTATGTGCTGTATGTAAACAATGTCATCATATCCAATCGGATTTTGATTAAGAGGTTAGTCTGTTAGTTTTAATTTATCTTAAGAGAATATCATTAAAACTAAATACACATATAACAAAAAAAACTGTCAGTGCTGTGAGGGAAACAATAGGCCTTACTTATCTCTCACAGATGACACAAAACTATTCATCATAAAGGAGTGACATAATTAAATTATAACACTCACAAATCATTTTTATTACTAAATTGAAATGTAGAATATTAGCCAATGATTTTCTCTGTGGTTAATTGTGAACCAATAGCTGTCAGCATCATCACCAGTTACCAGGCAGACGCCTTCTCTTGATGCAAAGTGCAAGCAAGGTTACTGAAGATGCCTATTTTGTTAAATAAATATATTATTTTAAATTAAAAAGTAGAACTAAACATATAAAACGCTGTAAAGCAATAACTAAATAGAATTATTATTTCATGAACTAATATGATGCAAAGGAAAGGTAAGCTTTATATCCAGAAACCAATATCATCCCATTTTAAACAAGATTTAAACAAATGCAATGTCACTCTTGTAGGTTAGCTAACTTGAATAATATTGAATGTATATATTTAATGTAATAAATATTTTAGGTTTTAATTTATTGCTAATTTTAACTCTGCTGTACATGGAGGAACAAGTACTTTATTAGCAAAGATTAGTTTTGAAGCTACTAGTGAGCAAACAGCTGTTGTTATAAGTAGAAATTTATATGTTAGGTTGCTCTCACCCTGAGGGTCTTCCGGGGAGAATAAGGGCATCCTCACTGCCGGTCAGACTCCCTCTGTCCAGGGCAGCATCTTCTGCAGAGTTGGCCATCTGTCTTGGACGTTTCTGTCAGCCTCTTCAAAGCAAAAAACTGGCGAAAGTCCGGCAGGACAAGCAGATAAACGCTATTGAAAATAAGGAAGGATTTACCAGACAGGTTCCTCAGAAAGGTGAATTTATGTGGAAAGTCCCTCTCCCTGTTGGGAGGCTCAGTGGCGCTGCGAGGGCTGTGATTGGTCAGATCCCAGCACCATCACTTGTTGATAGAGGCAGACAGTAGAAGGGTTTCGACTGACTTGTATCATAACTTGTTCTATTGAATGGTCTTATCTATTGTTTTTTTTTTTTTGCTAATTCTAACAGTCTATTCAATTAATGTAGGTGTAATATATTTTTAATATTTATATTACTTAGAGGTTGTTGATGTTTTACTAGTGAATTAATTTTAGCTTTGTACTTAAGTTTAGTACTTTTCCTTTTAGCAAAGTTACAAAGTGCTATACAGGAAAAAGAAATAAGCAAACAAAGGCAAAAAGCAACAACAGTAGTATTACTACTACCTCTAGTACAAACAATACATTTAATAATACTAAAATGCACTTTTATTTTGAAATATTTGTCAGTAGTAATCATGAGAACATTCGTCTAGTGGTAAGTATTTCAACGTGGATGTATTTTATTTTTTCAATGCAGCAATTCTTAATTTATGTTGCTCATTGTAAACTCCCAGCAACAACATAGGAGGAAGCTTTCTTTGTTATTTATGGTTGTTTTCCCCAACAAGTTACTAGGGATTTACAAGCCACATGTAAATCTACCATAGACAAGGTTAAATATCATGGACAAAATATACATTTTTAAATTATTTTGATGGTGAACAGGGTCATGTTTCATGGGATTTTGAGAGATTCCAGTTGGTTGCTTCCCAAAAGTACCTCAACGTGAAGTGAAACCAAAAGACCAACCAATCTCAGTTTTCAGCCACACAAGTCCAACTGATTTGAGCTTCTGGAAATTTCTGCACAAAAAGCAGACGCCATCCGCCTGCTTGCTTTCAACTTCACATGTTGGGTTTAGACAGTTCAAAATTTATCTGAGAAAGTAGAGGAAAGAGATCCAAATATTGAAAAATACAGTGGTGTTTTATTTGCAAATTAAAAAGCACCGACAATATTAGTTACACTGTAAAAATTATTGACAACAATTACAAATCTTTATCATACAGTCCAGGAGATTAGTACCATCATTGCTGTTATGTGTTATCACTTAATACTTTATATGGAGAGACTCAGTACCTGTGTACAATAGTTGGCAGTGAGAGGACATGAGAGGAAACAATCTTAGCAACACACCTCTGCACAATGACATAATCCAAACTCCCCTCAGTACAGCACTGACATTTCACACTATGGGAATGGGCTGATGGAGAGCGTAAACCCAAACACATTCAATAATTTAGGTCTACCGAGGGTTGCGTATTATGTACATTACAAAGTCAGGAAATAAAAAGGACCAACATGTGCATTGTTATTACATCAGAACATTGTACAAAACTATTGCAATAAGAGCAGCTTTTTGTTATCTATGCTTGACATCTAGTTGCAGTGGTAACACCTTGACTGACAACCAAACGTCTGAATGGTCTCACTGGGAATACTGTTGGTTTTCCTGGCAACTTTAAACGCTTTTCCCAGAGACAGCTTTTTTTTTTTTTTCCTCCCCGCCAAAACCTAAACTCATCTAGTAAAAGAAACAAAATATACAGTTTTGACAAAAAAACAAAACAAAATAAACCCAATGCCGAAACAGATCTGAAATGCACAAACTTGTTCTGTACACTATCTGAATCGCTCAGTCCAGAGTGTTTAATTAATCATACAGTAGCTAGCTTATGATCTTCTTCACAGATTGTAGCAGGACCCATTTTGTTAGTGTGCTTTCTATTAAACCTGTTATGTTCAGAATCGATGTTCACTTGAGTGACTTAAATATTGTGCTTTCAACATCTATCCTACTGTTCCTGCTTTAGCCAATCTAATGGTCTTGGAACTGACTAAAGAGGAGGCAGAGCCGAACACGTTAATAAACCAGTCTACTGTACATGTGGCCTATACGAGAAAACTGAGCTAAGGTGTTTAGTTTTGGTACATTCTACAATAATGCATTGCCATCAGCATTATATAAATGTTAAAACAAAATCAGAGCAAAAAAACCCAACAACATAAAACTTTAAAAAAAAGAACTCTCAAAAGTCCATGTGGTAATATTTTAATGAAGATTCTGTCCTGGCACTTGTAAATGCGATTACTAGATTCTACCAAGGCCTATCAAGTAAGGCTACAACATGCAGCCTGAGTCAAGACTCCAGATGTCCAATTCTCCTCTCATACATACACTTCACTTATATCAAAGGCATTTACAACAAATGTCTCTCTGTAAGTCAGGCCTCCATTTGGTCAATGTTACATTGCCTGATTTAATGCAGAGACACAGGTGATGTTGTGTTCATCACTTCCACCTGTTTCCCCAGAGCTGAAACAGTGAAGATGGCTGCTCAAGCTTCAGACTTTATTCTCTCTCTTATTCCTTTGACTTTCAAGAAGTTCATGCAAAGAAGAAGAGAAGGTTTGATTAAGGAGAGCAGGGATGTGATTATCAACCACTGGAAGTCACTCCTGTGTGTCACTGAGCCTTTCCTTCTTCTCCTCCTCCTTCTTCAGAACACAGCAGAAGCCATCATTACGGCTTCCGTGGTCCTGGTTTGACCTGCAGGGGAGTAACGGCATCTTGAAGCTCAGGGAGAGAGATGGAATCAGCTGCTGAAAGCAACTAAGCTCTCTTCTTTCTCACCATCCACTGTCGTCTTGTTCATTTAGGAAGATCAAGTTCTGCTTGGGCATCCCATCCTCAAATCTCCATACATTCCAGTCTCTTTCAAAACTTTTTTGGGATCCTGAACATTTCAGGCCACTTGGCCAGCGTCCCCCCCCCAGCAGGCTCGAGCAGTGGTTCAGTGTGTAGAGATGTGGTCTCCCCCCTGTGGTGCTGCTACCTGGTGTGGACCAGTTCTTCTCTGAGCCAGCTGGGCAGCGGCTGACCCATCCTGTAGAGCAGCTTGGAAAGCTCAATGTTGTGATCCCTATAGTACTCCCTGAGGAACCTCTGTGACTGAAGGAGACAAAAGAGGTAAGATAACATTCAATTAAAAAACACATCATCAAAAGTAGCAAAAATTAAACAATCTGTAAGTAAAACATTAACAGATAAATAGTAAAATGTATGTCAAAACTCATATAAACGATCATACCTCAGAGTCCATGTCAGGGTACCTGCGTCCTTTACTCTTTCCCAAACACTTTGTCTTCCCACCCTCCAGCAGCTGACACCAGAAGCCTTTCTTAGGGTCGAACCTGCACATAATAGATATAGAAAATAATCTATCGTGAACAAAAGAAAGCTCACACTTTATTTAAAATTCAAATCTACTGTTACCAATCACAACCCTCCTATACTTGGTGTAAAAAAAAACATAATATTTTGGCCATTTTATGCCTTTATTAGATAGTGCCAAGCTCAACAGATTGTTTTTTTCAACAACAAATCAAGAGCAGAAACAGATTCCTGACAGATGAAATGAAATAAATTCTTAAATATCTGCCTTGTTTTTTACTTGTACACCTAAAACTGAACTTGTTTAGAACCGGTTTTGTTGCGTGCACACGTGGTGAAAGCCAACAACTAATGTAACCTGTGGAGTCAATATGCAAATTCCTTCATGATAGTAGCACTTGATGAAATTATACTGCGAGGGATTTAAAAAGGAAGGACAGTACTCACGCAAGGATCTTGTGGTAGTTGATCACGTTGGCCAGAGCCAAATACTTCTGGATTTTATCCATGATTGACGCAGGCTCGGTCTTTAGCATCTGTCCATCCAAGACTAACAACTGGGGTAAGACACACAAACGGTACCAAAAGTCATTATCACAATCATTTTACAGTCTGAATTAAATGACCTGCTGATAGATGTGTTTTTATTCTAAGAGGATAAACTTTTACAACTTAAATTCTTTTGCAGTAACAGAAGTGCAGACCACACTTCATTGGATCTTGCAGCTGACAGATTTTGTCATTTTTGTGGAAACAAGAGCTTGTTTTTCCTCCTGAGAGAGTGACCCTCAAGGGCAGTTTGCTTCCGTTATAGTCAAGTAGATTTAAACACTGCCCTCAAGGACTCACAAAAGAGTAAACAAGCCTCTCCTTTACCACAAACACAAAATACCTGCCAGCAATCCATAAAGCTTGATTTACACAAAGCCCAACTCAAGCTAACTTGGCTGAACTGAAATACTTAACACTTGTGTTCGTTCATTTACTGCATAACATTGCCCACCACTGCGTGCGTGTCACACACGCTACCTGGCTGGAGTGATAGTAGTTGAGCCAGCGCTCCAGGTGGATGGCGTACCAGCCTGGTACCAGACAGCGATTCTGGAGGACCCGTAGTTTGACTGGAGCATCATGGCCTGCGGTGATGACGTCATGGAAGGAGTATTTCAACGCCACCGGGTCATCGTGGGCTCTTTGGTGCTGTGGGCAGGTGAGGAGAGAGTAATTTAAGGAGGATTAGTCTTAAAAAATTAAAAAACGTGCTTGTGCAAAGTTGAACAGAGAAGTGAGTGGTGCGTGTGACAGACCTGGTACCAAGAGTACGCTCTGTCCGCTGGGTTGATGAGGATGGTGATGATCTTGGCTTTGGGTAGGAGAGCTGCAGCCCTCTGAGCAGCCACCTCAGAGTCAAAGTAGTTGGCACTCTTCTCAAAGTAGTAGTCTGAACTGGTGTTGGAGGGCAGAGGGAAGTACTCCATATACCTAACGCACAACAAACACAAACAAAGTGTTACGAACAGCCACAAGCGATCTGGTCCAATTTGCTCTCAGCAGATAAGGATCATTTCTCTGTACGCTGTGTGGGTGATCAGCCATGTGCAACAGCTTGTAACCACACATATTAAAAAAAAACATCTAGCAACATGGCACAAAGCTAATATTTGGGCAGCACACATAAATATCAAGTCTGCCAGTAGGGTTGGGCCGATAGACGATGCCATCCACCACTAAGCCCTCTACCATCGTGATTTAAAAGCAGTCACACACACGGTCCGAAATGAACACCTGCCAAGCTCGAAATACGGGTTGAATTTCTGTCTGGCGAGTAAAATCCTCATTAATGAAAGTGCAATAAAAGCTTCACGAAACCCCCCCCACAACAATAAAAGTAATTTATCAAAACATTAGAACTGATGAATATGTGTTTTTTAAAGGAATGTAGCCAAAGAGTGCAAATATGAAGGATGGGTTTATTCTAATCATTATAATATTTTCTTCTGCCTGATTTGCTAAAAGAAAAAACTTCTTATTTAATAACACTATTCACACTGTCACACAGCTGAGAATTAAAACTTACGTACCTTGTAAACTCTCCCGTTCTCTCCTAAGAGCCTGTATTTAAAAATAGGTAGGAGTCGGGCCAAACATAAAGCAAAGTGCTCCACCTGTCTTAAACAAATACTCCTAATAGTTATAGTGTTATTTGTAGGGAGGCCCAAAGACAGGGGGTGGGATTTTTTTTGTGGGATACTCTCAAAATCTAGCTGTCTCTTGCTAATTCTCCAACATTGCCTACCCCAGGTTTAATGTGTAAAAAGTTAGTGAAGACAGGTAAACACCTCACCAAATTTAATGTCAAAAACAAAGTTAATCATGAAGCGCAATTAAACCCCTGTTATTATAAGATGGGGACATTTCTGAATATGTAGCTCGTTGAAAGCGCTTGGCAGCCAACTTCTGCCCAGCACTGCTACATTACAAAAGACTGAGGTGTGTGTCTGTGACCATTCTTACCAGTCAATGCCTCTGTGGTAGTTGTGCCCATTGAAGAACTGGATCTCCTCAAAGGTCTCCTTGCTGGGGTAGTTACTGGTCAGGTCAGGGTGCATGCCAAGAAACAGGTAAAGCGCTGTTGTCCCTGAGAGGGCAAAGGAAGAACAAGTAGTGTACATGAGACAAAAGAGATAAAGGGGAAGAGAAGAGCATGAGGCTTAAGGGAGTGGGTATCCTGTTATTAAGTACAGTGAGATGAAGATGAAAGGCAAAAACAGTAGCACTTTAAAAGCAAATCACAATTTTCTCTACTACTATTTCTATAATAATAATAAATTTTATTTGTGGACACCTTTCATAGCACTCAAGGACACCTTACAGATTAAAACAGTTAAAATACATTTCAAGGAGGCAAATACAATAAAGAAAATAAAAACAAGACACAATTTAAAGATTAAGATAAAATAGAATAGAGAAAAAATATTTAAAAAATATCCTCTAATTTTCAAAGAACTAAAACAAACCTCATTCAAACCACACGTCTGCTCTGAACTGGACGATATGCTTCAGATTAAAATCATTTCTAAATTCATCCTGTAGGGGGGGTTGAAGGACTGCATCTCACCTGTCTTCTGAGGCCCAATGACGAGCAGTTTGGGGAAGCGGTCACATGTTTTCTCTTTGGACCAGATGTCCTTGTGCCTTTTGTCCTCACAAGGATCCTGTAGCCACAAAAACGATAAACAATCCTTAGTTTCAAGGGGATGTACATTTAAAAAAAAAAACAGGAGGTGTATTTAATAAAATACGTTGGTTGGTTGGACGGTTAATGACATTGCTCTCCATCCATCGAGCAAACAATGTATTATTTATGACCAAAGCCATACACATGCTTTGTCTGCATATGATATGTTTTGCAAAGGATTCAAGCTATGACTGTGTAATGTCATATTTTATAAGCAATACAATGTGTTATGTTTACAGTACTATTGTCAGCTGTTTCTTTATTGCAGCATTCCATTGCTGGTATATAAGCTGTCAAAAAAGTACTACTGAATGCAAATTTGGGCTTTAGTGCCAAACAAACATGTAAATCCAACGTCTCATTCTTACCTGCCAGAGTGGATCTCTCTCAGAGGGAAACAGGCTGAAGTATTTCTGAGCCAGCTGAACAGGTGGCAGGGTCTGCATCTTCAGGTTGGTCCACGTCTGGATGAACATCACCAGGCTTTTAAATGTGTAAAGGCCAAGGCGGTCATTCCCGTAGTTGGACAGGTGGGTCATGAAGATACTTATCTGTGAACGGGAAGGAAGGATAGGGGGATGAAGGTAAATTCAATCTGGTCTAAACTGGGGAGGAATGCTGTTCTAAGTGGCACGCTATTAGAAAGTATGAGTATATCACCTTGAGCTCTAGGAAATGCTGAATATTTTTCGCAATATTCTGACATTTTATTTTCACTGATTTGACTTATCAAGAAAATAATAGACTAATACATATTGAAATGATAATTAGCTGCAGCCTTAAACTATTTACTTAAAGGATTTCGTATCTATATACAATATATTGGATTTTAATCAGCATTTGGGCAGCCCAACTCTTAATGGTTAAGTTTAAATTATTTTTTTCTCTTCTTAAAATTGGCCTTAATACAATAGTCAGGTGCCCATGTGAATAAATCTGCAGTCCTCATTCTGTGTAAACATATAGTCCAAAGTTTGTGTGACGCTAACATGAGGCAGTCTGAGTAAGTCAAATCAAGTTTCAGTCTTTTTGGTACACATTTAATATGAAACCTGAAACAAGACGTTTCTTGAAGGGTGCTTAAAAGTAAGACTTTGAGAAGAATTAATAATTATTATTATAATAATTATCTGCAGGCGACTTTGCAGGGTGACATTTGCTAGATGTGAGATATGGTAATAAAACTAACTTTTTTAAATCATCAGCTCAATATAAAACATGTTGACAAATATGAGAACTTTTCAGGAATGCATTTTGGATCCAATAAAAGGAGCTTTCACAGCAAAGTGTAAAAAGAGAAAGCATGATGCGGACATCACTGCGTGAGTCATTGACTAGGCTTTGTCCTGTCCCTCATTTAAATTTCAATTTACACCACCAGTTTAATGGGTTTCCAAGTGTGCAAGATAAAAGCTGTGCTGCGTGGATGCGTAGTTGACTCACAGGGTTCAGCAGAACGGTGAGGAAGAGTTCTCCACCATTGATGAGCTTGTCCAGTTCATTCGGACTGCCCGGGTAGTCTTTATAGAAGATGGTGTGCGTGAAAAGACCACATGTCTGCCTGGGCAGCACCTGTGATGTAAACAAAGACACAGTCACCAAACCAAAATGGCAAAAACATTAAAGAAAAAAAAAAAATCAAAAAGAAATGCATTCCCACAAACAAACACACACACACCATCGGCCCTCCACTGAGAGAGGAGCTGTCAGTACTCCAGGCAGTTACCTCACACATTGTTTGCTTTCAATAACATTCATATTATGCAGCTCATCTAGCTAAAGCAAAGCTCTTATTCACTCTGAGTCTATATGGAAATTCATGGAAATGCGTTTACAGTTTGGAGTGTCTGGGGAACTGAATATCAATCATTGGTAAGCAGTGGAGACTGTCCATTCAGACTGCACTATCTCAAGGACAGGAACAGAGCTCTGAGACCACACAGGCCGACTGAATGCCAACACTACAAAGGGAGTGGGACTGAGGCTGCACTATTTCCTATCAGCGTTGAAGGTCAACCTGGGAAAGAAATAGATAAGATTTTTTCCCCTTCTTTTGAACCTCTTGAATGTAATCTATTCAACTTTAATTCTGGTCTCATAACTATATAATTCTGTACCGGCTAGCAATGTGAAGCTAAAAAGTTTGTTTTTGGGGGGTGGTTGACATTTCAGTGATTGGTTATGTGCAGACACTTGCTGTGCTGTTGCCAGAGATGTCAGTCTTCGTTATGGTGCCTCAAGCCTGCTAGACAACACTACTCAGACAGGTGTCTCATGCAAGACTGGCTCACTTGACTACATTATCATCTCCCACTCAGAAGAAGAATACAACAGCTCAGCAAGACTAATGAGATGATTGCCTTTCTCAGGACTTCTGTTGCCTCTGTGATATACGGTAAATGAAAATAAGAATTCTGCTCAGCATCTTTGGGGACAAGACTTAACAAAAGCAGAGGCGGAGAGGAAAAGAGGATGACGGACAAATGCAAGATAGAGAGTAACCGCTGGGCATGATAGAAGAAGTACAAAAGAAGTGGAGATGGAGGGATAATTAATGAATGAAGGATAGCATATGTAGATTGAAAGAGAACCCTGAAAGGGATTAATGGCTGAAATGGGTGTTGAGAAGCAGAGTGGAGAGAAAGCAACGGGCCAGAGGTAACAAGATAATGAGGCCTTATGGAAGCCTGGCGTGTATGAAAAGTGGTCTTACGCTAATGCCGCTGTGGATGAAACCTCGCCGGAAGCGGGCAGGCTTCAAGTGTGGGTATTCCTCTGTGCTGGTCACCTTGATGCCCCACACTTTCTTCCAGGCGTCGTACAGCTGCATGTGGACAGGGTAGACGCCAGAGTGGTGGGGCGCCACAGCGTAGCCCATGTTAGTGGGGATCCCATGCTCCTAGAGGTCAAAAATACATGAGTGAGAGTCAAGTTCCCTAGATATTAAAGCTATGATACAATCCCTCTTCATGAAATCAAACCCGAATTTTGGGCATCTTTTCCTTAATAGTCATTTAATGTATATACATTCTGTAATCGAGATAATTACTGAATCTCTCTCTTCATAGTAGTTTCTGATGGTAGCGGTGGAGTCCATGATTCACAGATTTGGCATTTTACTGTAAAGCAACCACAGGAACTCAATGTGCTCGTCATTGCAATTAGCGACAACGGCTTCGTCAAAAACGGGTCTATGAATTCAGATGTCATTTCCATCCGATTTCCTGTCAAGCAGATCATCTTTAATAGCCACAGTGAGCTGTTAGATGAGGAGCTGCAGGTGACAGGTTGCTCCTCAGCAAGGTAACCAACTCTGCTGTGTACTCCTGTTGTGTGAGAAACTTCTCTCATTGTGTGCAGGATTTAATTTGATTGCAATTATTTTTGACTGACTTCTTGATTAGAGTTCTTACTACTAGTTCTTAGTACTAGAATTCTTGAGAGAGTTTGTTTGGCTGCACTGTACAGATATGCCGGTTGCTGTTGTTCTGTTATATTCCTGACAAAGCAGCTGTTCAAGTAGTGTCTGCTAAAGAGCACTAGCTGTTACCTCAGTAACCATGGGTGAAATCTTGCAGATTACCACTTTTAAAAAGCATTAACACCCTTGCCGGAGAGTGCCTATTTGAACAAGTTAGCTGGGATAAGAAGGGACAGCTCTGATCACAGTGCTCACCCAAAGCTGTGATCTGACCTTCGCCCCCCACAGCGTGACTCACCATGGCAAATTTCTTGTTGAGCAACATCTGCTCGGCCAGCACGGACTGGTTGTGGAACAGATGGGGCTGCATGTGGCTCCACATGTGAGGGAACCACCAGAACTCCTTCACGTAGGAAAGCAGCAGATCGTCTCCCAGGTCCTCCTCATCAGATCCTGAACACGACAGAGAGGGTGGACAGTAGGACCCGGAAATGAGGGAGGAGATGGAGGGGGATGAGGGAGGTTAACAGAAAAACAAGTGGTGAAGGGTGGAGAGGAAATGGAGGGGATAAAAATGGACAAAGACAAAGAGGAGGCAAAGGTGAAACAGGGTCAGCGATAAGAAAGGGAGGAAATGAAAATCAGAGAGGCAAAGGGAGAAGAAGTTCAGATATTAGAGTGAGGCATGCAGGAGATAAACAGGAAATAAAAGTCAGGCATGAAGGAGAAGACGAGGAGTAGAGAAATTAAAATAATGTGAATCAAAACTTTACAATCTAAGAAGCGTTATCTCTCTCTAGTTTACTGCATGCTCTTTTCTCGGCCTGAATTAACAGTAGCAAAGGTTCTCTTCACAGGCTGCATACCAGCGTGAAAGAATTTCCCTGAGAAGCCCAGATTGAAGGTGAAGTTGGGCACATGGGTACGCAGCTCCCTTTGTGTCTCCAGCAGGGCCTGAAACAGTGGGAGGAAAGGAGAGTGAGTCAATACATTTCGAGCTCATACTGGTGCACGAGCGCATTAATGAGGAAGCGTGAACGCATGTGTGCCCACATACATATTTCATTCGGCAAAGTTTCTTTCGGTAAACATCCAACATCCACTCCCAGTTGCCTCACTCCTCTCCTCCATTCCGTTTGATATTTTTCACTCCTCTGATTCGGTTGTTTGTTTCATTTGATCTGTACGCTGGATGAGACTCCCAGCACACACCCTCTCACGCTCACACATTTCTCTGTCATGTCGGGTGTGATTCGTTCCTAAAAGCTTGCCGTCGCGCTGCCAGTGAGGCAGGCATTGATGCTTGTTCCATAATGTTTTCTTATACCCTCTGCATCCACATATGAGGGGGGTCGGTTCTGCTCTGAGGGGACGCAAGCAAGGAGCTTTTCAACATTCTTTGGATGTCTGTGGGCCCCCTGAAATATTCATTGCTGTGGAGCTTCTGTGACAGTGTGAGCAGTGGGGCCTGTCAGCTTTGAGCGGCCTACTGGGACGATTGCATTCAAAAGGAGAAGAGGAGCGAGAAGAAGGGTTTCTGTATGACTAACAGAGGATAGCGAACGCTATGTGTGAGGCAATTTTTATTTTTCAGCAAAGGGCTGCTTGAAAATATAAGTGGGGTTCAGTTTCTTTTCTGCTTAAGTTTTCCCACTGTGAAGCACATGTACAAACTCACCTTAACGTCAGGCACCTTCATGCGTGTGCCCTCTTTGCCCACAAAGATGTCATCTATATCCACCAGCATGTAGCGCTCCAGGGACAGCGAGAGTCTCTTCCCCGTCAGAAAGGCCACAGCGTCCACAAACACCAGCTTGTGCAGCCAGAAGACCAAGTTGTTGCCGAACAGGACCCTTTGGATGCCATCATGAAGCCCCAGGTCCTGCACCACCGACGGGAGCAGAGCAGCGTTCTGCCCCATCGATGCGACACTCTCAGCTGATTGGGTCTTGGCCAGCAACACAGGCTCGTACGTAGAGTGGTTGGACTGGAAAACGGTCCAGTCATCCCCGGGGAGAGGACCTGGCAAGGGCTGCCCGGATCGAGTGATAAAAAGCAAGGGGGACTTGGGGTTGACGGTGCAGTCCTTCAGACCCAAGTTAGAGTGAAGAAAGAGGGGGAAGCCTTTCAGCTGTGCACTGAGCAGACTGTTCTCATTGGCCTGATCAACGGAGAGACAAAGACAAGAGAGATAAATCACACAGATTCATCATACACCAGACTGATGAAGACAGAAATGTATTGGATATAATTCCCCAATTTTGCCAATCATGTGTGAAATGAGGAATGTCAGGCCTACTCAAATGTGAAGGCAGGAGGCAGCTTCTACCTGCTATGCTCAATCTGCTCTGCTCCGAGATTGCAGTCAAAATGAATAACGTCTTGCGGTGTCCTCAAAGATTCAAAGACTTAGGGTTCAGTGATTATTCACTGAAATTTCCCGTCCCAAATTTGTCATTCTCCGATTCTCTCTCATCTCTGCAGCCACGGATACACAGGTCCTACTTTCTCCTACACTTTCACTTAACATTTTACCACAGTGTGCGGTGGACACGGGTTCATAAAGTTAACGCTAACATGAACTGGCTACTGATTTTTTCCTCCCATTGTGATTGGCAAACTAGAGCCCAACAGAGACAGAGAACATCTGAAGAAAAAAAAAATAGATAAATAAATACTATTATTATTTTATATATATACACGCGCAAACATTTTGTAATCCTCGTGTTTTGTTGACACTTTCTTCCCTTGTTGTTTTAGGCCCCAACAATTGATGCATGTATAATGATAATAATTGCAAAATCAACCAATTTAAATATATTTATTCCCAATATGTAGAAAGGAATTCCCTTTTCCGAAAATTGGACTTGGCCATTTGATGAAGGTGACAAAATGTGGTAACGACCCTAAAGTATTGTTATTTGACCAAAAAAGGGAATATTTCATGTTTTATTTGTTTTACGGGCTATGCAACTGTTCTAATAACACCAATAATAGACTTTGGGCTAGGGGAGGGGAGTGCTGCATAAAGACTACTTAGTCAACACCAACCACAGATGGAGAGCATATGAACATTTATTGTATTCACCCACTATTTGCAGCTGGGGTCTCTGAGACCCCACATAGCGGTAATGTGTCCTTTTCTGTAGCAGATTTCTGGAATATGTAATCAGTGCAAAATCTGGTTTAAAATTAGGAAAAGGAAAAGTGCCAAAGTTTTAAAAACGATGTTAAGTATGTTTTTTTAGTCGTGAAAGAGGGGAGTCTCTAGGATAAATTACGTACCTAACAAATATATTTGATATGGATTCTTTAAATTTGGTTATTTAAAGATTTGTACAGTAATTTCGTATTACTTCTCATCCAACATACATGCAGACGCATATGTTTGTAATACGCAGAAATCAGGGCTATTGATATCGGTTGGGTTCCACTGCAAGCCGTTTGGTTCAAAAAGCAGCAGTGATGTGTGTCCAGGTTGTTGGGATGCACACCCTCGCTCTAATTCCTCCTCTCCCAATATACAGTAAATCCCAGCAGGATTTCTTTTCTAACCTTCACCACCTAACATCACTGCACCACATCTCTTTCTATATTCTTCCCATGGCTCAGAGATGGTGATTAAAACCATAAGGCCTGAAAACAGGCCTTGGGCAAACAGGCTCAACTATGGATTAGAGAGAGAGAGAGAGAGAGAGAGAGAGAGAGAGAGAGAGAGAGAGAGAGAGAGAGAGAGAGAGAGAGAGAGAGAGAGAGAGAGAGAGAGAGAGAGAGAGAGAGAGAGAGCACTTAAGAAATTAAAACAAAGGAGAGAAAACAAGAAAAGAGAAACACGAGACTGGGCAAGAAGAGTGAAGAAGGCCAGATTGCAGAATAAAGACAAACAAGAAATAGATAGAACATAAGAGAAAGAGTGCAGCGGGACTGAGTGATATTGAACCAGGCAGGTCTTTCCAACCCTGTGAATCCCATCTCCTTAGAGACGGTGGAGCCAGATGGACAGGGCAGAAGGTGTGAGTGAGAGGAGGGAGGGAGGGAGGGAGGGAGGGAGAGAGTGTGGTGTTGTCCTAACCTTGAAGAAGCCAATGATGCCCACTCCATATTCCACACAGTACTTGTCCAGCAGCTCTCGGTTCCAGGCGTCCAAGTTAACATACTTGAGAATGTTCTCATAAATCACCAGTGTGAAACGCCCCCTCTCTTTGTCTGTCAATGTGGGCATGTCACCTTTACCGGGAGAGATCTCAGTCCGGTACTTGAACCGGCCAGACTCTAAGATGGCCACAATCTCCTGACCCAGTTGAGAATACTGGCTTTCCACAAACACCAGAACCACAGGATCTGTCCTGGCCCCCCCGGGATCCACCCCGGGGCCCCCTGACATGCCCCGCAAAGGTAGCAGTCGTGACGGAGTGACCCTCGGATCATCGGAGTCGGCGGATGCTCCCTCAGCCCCGGACACGCCGCCTCCCGATGGCTCCAGCTCCCGCTTGACGCCATAGAGGAAGTAGGCAGAGATGAAGACGCTGACGGTGCAGAAGAGGAAGAGAAGGAGGAGGGAGGTCTGCAGGGGGAGGAGACGGACCAGCCGACGGAGGCGTGTCACGCATCCCAGCATCGTCCCGCGCCACACCGCCCCGCCGGCCCAGCAACACGCCTTGGGGACCGCCTCTCTCGGTGTGGGTAGAAACGGCGAGCAGGGATTATTCACAAAGTCAGTCTTGCTATGGAGCTAAATACAAACGGCGTTGAGGTAGCAGCTGCAGCAGCTACTGGAGAAAGAAATGAGACGGTCTCACGTTGGCTCTCCCTCATATTGCAGCGCTGCTTATGTCACCATGGCAGAGAAATTACGGGGCCTTGGACTGTTGGTACACACTTAAGCCTCAGAGGGAGGGCTGGCAGGCCGAGTCACTGGAGGAGAAAGATGATGGAAGACTCCATCACCTGTCCATCATCTGAACCTGCCAACCATGTCCCGGGCTAGATCTTTCTCCACTCTCTCGTTCGGAGAATGATCTCTTGAGAAAAGTACGGTCACGCAGGTCATCTCAGCTGCACCATTCCCTTAGGATCGAGGTTCCTGATCTAGAAAAAAACAGCAAGAAAACAATGTTAAAATCTGAAACACACAGCCTCAGCTCCTATAGAACAAACAACATATTCTTTTGTTGAGTGGGTTTAGCGCTGTGTGGGAGAGGTGTGTATACTGCCAGTGCCAACACTCCAAAAGTTCACTCCAAACTAGTCCTTGCATTCACCTACACAAAGTAAGAGCTGCCAACTCCCCCCTACACACACACACCTAACCCCTGTGTGCGCAAACACACACACACACACAAAAAAAAAAAAATCACTCACTCACGCAGCCTCCACACAATCAATAGGCAGAATGTGAGTGACAACAAAGCCTTGAGGCGAGCCAATTCCCGATTCAGTCCAGTAGGACTGTGTGACTGCATACAAGTGAAGCCATCGCCTGCGGGGACACTCGCCTTCTATTTCCCTCAACTCCTCAACAGTATAGAGACCAAAATGGGAGTGCAGGAGAAGGGAGAAAAGCAAGCTGGTGAAAAGAAGCGATCCAAGAGCAGAGGAGTGGATGGTGACAGAGATGGCAACAGCAGGATATTTTGCTCTGGGAGAAAACCCCATATCACACTCAATATACATCTCCATACCCTCTGCAGACCCACCATAATATACGAGTTCTTTAGTCCATCTCCATCAAGGCAAGTGTGAAAGGTATAAGATGTGGCATTGAAAACTGTGTGTTAGTCACTTCCAAAAACACCCTTTCTCCATTTAGAGGCCTGGTGGAGAAATGAGACAGCACTTCATTACCGTTGTATGGAAATGCTCTGTCCATTAAGCTGGAGAGCTATCGAGGTGCACACACACACACACACACACACACCTTTATAAAACCCTAAATACCAATAAAGTAGAGTCACAACCCTCTCAACCCAAAGGCATTAAACAGTGACCACCAAACCCATCAAGACTCAGACACAAATCAGACATAAAATGCATTTGATAATGCAGTCAAAAGGTTTAACAATAACACTAAACACTAAAAACTGAGATATAATTAAAGTTACATTAAAAATACATGAGTGGCTGTAGCCTATATGATTCACTGTGCTCAACAGAGCACAGTGAATCATATAGGCTACATTACAATCAATAAATTGATGACTGTTCAGCTGAGTAGGAGATACACTATTATTCTATACATTACTTCTGAATAACATATAGATAATCCTTTGATCACTGAAGTTATCATTCAAGTGCAAACACAGTATTCCATGGGGGAGGGTCCCTTTAATGTAATTAAGGTCAGCATTCTGGCGAGCAGCTCTGCCCCTCTTAAGCTCAACACGACGCCTTGAATCTCCCTGCGAGTGCAGTTCTCTAGAAATCACACTTCTTTTTCTCTGAGTCGTGTCCAAATTTCCTCTTCACAGGGAGGCAGAGTCTAATGTAAAGAGAGGCCGTGAAAAAACACAGTGGGCGTTCAGAGAATGTATTGCAGCAGAGCAGACAAAAACAAACAGCCCTGGTAGCTTGAAGATCCCCCCCCACCCCCTTCGGTACTTTGTTCATTTCTAAGGGAGCCAGGGTTCGTGCCACGGCATATCAAAGTATGATTAGCCACAGGAAGTGACTGCTGCTGGAAACGGTGATGCAGAAGAGAAGACAGGGGAGACGACTTTTTACACAACACCGAGGCCTAACACTTGTTTCAGGTCTTTTGGGCAAAAGGACTCACGTTAGTACTTAAAAAGATACAAAAATAAATAAATTAAAGCCATTACAATGGTGAGGTTTCTCATCACCAATGCAATGTTATAATTCAACATTCAATATCACTCACATTATCATTCACTGACTTTCAGCAGAATCTTGGGCTGCAACTAATGATAATCTTATTTATTGAGTTGGTTATTAAGTTGGTTATCTTTTCCAAAATTGATTAGTTACTCTGAAAATAGTTTCTAAAAACCAAGCTGATATCTTGAAAATGCTTGTTTTGTTTTTTTTTACTCATTTACTGTCAAATGAAGTTGCCCTGTGGATCGAAAAGTTTGTGTTTACATTCAGTGTTCAACAAAGGACATGTTGTGTATCCTTGACATCTAACAAAGTGATTGAATGTATTTCCTTCCACATAACACTTGCAAAGCCAAATATTTTTTTACTTCATTGCCTTTGCTGGTGCATTGCTGTATTTCTTGGCACGCTACCGCAAATTCATGTTTCTCCACCTGTACGTCAGTGGACAAATAGGTGGCGAAACATGAATGCATGTTGTGTTGGACTTGCGCACACGAATAAGACAAGCCAAATAGGTATCCACTCGTAAAGACACCGCTCCATAGAGTTACTAATGTTTAACAACTTTCTCTTGTTAAAGTAATCAATTATGAGCAAGTAACAAAAAAAAAAAAAAAAAAAAAACTTATTTAAAGCAAATGTGCAAAGCAAATTTGTTTTTACATAGAAGAGTTTTGTCTTCTGTCATGTACCACAGTGAACTGCAGTTCATTACATCAGTTTTACAAGCTCACATTCATTCTTCCCTATAACTATTACTAATGAAATAATGACTTCAAACACATACCAGTCTGCTCTACTCTAAGAAAGAGGCTATCTTAAACTCATTTTCTACGAATGATTAGCCAGAATGAAGACACGTTATCTTGGTTTGCAGGGAGACAATGAGCTCTGCCGTGGCTCTGTAATGACACTGTTGACATGGCTTTGGAGCAGATTAAATGGTGACACAACACAAACAGAGTAGGGGCACAGAAAACCTCACTTCTTGCCCAATTCGCAGCAGTGATGACCGCCTCCCAATGTTGACCTACAGACTGAGATACAAAGAGCTACAACTGAAGGAAGAGGGAGGGAGAGGGCGAGTGAGAGAATGGCTGATGGCAGGAGTGGAGGAGTAAGAGGGCAGCTGACACAAATAAGAGGTAAAGCTCAAGGCCTCGAGTGTGAAGCTACAGCTTTGAGATCAGGCCAGCTAAATAGGGAGTACAATACATTAGACTATAATGGAGATGAGGATATAGCACTGTCCGAGTGGGTAATGGATCTCAAATGTCTGCACGCCCATCTCACCTAAATTGTCTTCCACTTTCTGTGCCATGTATACCTTAGAAGAAGCCAAGATGTAACCGCAAACAAAATAATAGATGCTAAAATGCAGAGGAGGTAGAAAAGAGAACATGAATATTTCACACTTAGCAGAAGCGGATGAGAGGTATAGCCAGAAGACATATCCGTAAGATAAAGAGCAGCCAAAAGGTGCGCAGAGACTAGAGTGTTTCAGTCTGCCAAAGGGAGTCAGTGTCTTAGCTCATGCATAAAGGGAGGGGCAGATGGAGACTAAGGCATATCTGATAACCAACCTTTTCATTCTCAATGATGGAAAGAGCTCACTCTGAATATGAGCTCTGTAATAGCACACGTTGGCTAAAACTCCCCTTAAAAGGAAGTGGCAGACAGACCACTAAAACAGGGAAAAAGAGCAGCAAAGGGAGAAGAGAACACGAGTGGAAAGGGAGACAAAAACTGAGGAAAAGGACAAGGTGATCAACTACCAAACCTTGACGAAAAAAAAAGACAGACCGGTGGGAGAAATGAGCGAGAAATTCACCCCCAAGGTGGCCATCAATCTCACGGCTTTGAAAACATCAATTAAAATGCCCCCCCCCCGCCATTATTTTATAGCAGCTGAAAGATGACGACAGAATGAAGTGGAGGCATAAACAATAGCAGGTGACGGCCGAGAGGACAGACTAATGCTTTCCCTCAGGGTGGGTGGTCACTCAAACCTGCTCCCTCTACATCACGGGAAGCAGGCCAGAACCATGCTGCTAGATTAATGAGAGACAATGAGGAACAGGGGGAAGGAGCCCGGTCCTCAGCTGTAACAACTCTCTGGATAAACAACGCTAAGGTTGGCCATATGTAGCCTCACATGTCCTGTTCCCTCTTTCCCCTCCCTCCCTGACACCGCTGTTGCACTTCTTTTAAAAGTGTGAATGAGACTATGTGTCCCAGGGCTTGTGAGAAGAGTCAGTACATTAACACTGTCAACCAGAGTCAGGCTAGCCGTAGGTGATCCCTTCAACAAATAAACTTTTTTTTAAGGCAAGCTGGATCCGCCGAGCCCCTCGGGACCAAACAGTGCCCCCTGCCCCCTCCTCCTGCTGCCCCTCTACCCAATCCATCCCCTCACCACCGACTGACCGAAATAAATGATGACCCTCCGTGTTCAATCACCATGGGCCTTGGCAACCGCACGTCCTCCATGGAAACACTGGGGTTATGTTGTTTTCAGAGGCATGGAAACTGTGCAGAAGCAAAGAGAGAGAGGGCAGTAATCCATACGGCACTCATCAAAAGGCTACTGTTGTTGTCACTTTCCGGTCTTTGTGTGAGCCACTTTGGTACACGCACATCAATACACAATCACAGCTGAGACGGACCCGGGAGGCTCATTAGAAGTCCAATGATCTCGCACGTGTTGTGTTTGTATTTATTGTTGAACAAATATCACTGAGCTTTCGTGCAAACATTCAGGGCCTTGCAAACACAAAAGCAAGTTTGGTCCGACCGTCTGAATTGTATAACCAGGCATGGGTCAAGGTTAAACGGGTAAGAATGACGCCAATGTAATCCCTAATCTGTAATCCTGTTAATCTCGACACTACACACAGTACCAAATGTGCTTATGCCAGCTCGGTCACTGTGAGATGCCTTGAGGCGATTAAGAGACGAGACACAATAGTGTCTCAAAGTGACAAAGGCGAGGATTGAACATTACAGTGAGAGAGGGGTCAGGATACTGTGCATCTTTACTCCTAGTCTTGTTATAAAAGGCGGCCAATTTAGTATACAGTTTTAGAGTTGTTGTGACCACTGTCAACAGCTACCAGTAAGACCACGGTGTTGGAATTCATCACCACAAGCAGCAAGACGCAAAGCTAAAGCAAATTTCTGCATTTGCATTCAGCCTCCCACCCTTTCTTGTGAGAGATTAAACTTCAAAAAGCGAGAATTTTCATATTTCT